TCTGAAGAGTCGGGGTGAGGGGCAGGGGTAAGAGTGTGTCTGACTTGGGGACTTTTCATTTCATCTTATAGTCCTTGACATGCACCCTTATGAGGTATACACACACACACACACACACACCCCGTATTCATTTTATCCATTTTTATTTATTTTGCCCTTAATATATTTTTAAAACACCATTTTCAATAAGCCTGATGTTTCAACAGAAAGAGCTTCCCCGACCCCCAGCCCCAAAGCTTGCTCAAAGGCACGCGGGGCCCCTATGTCCGTTCTCCAGGAGTCTAGCTGCTTGAGGAGTGGCAGGGATTACACTACGGTGAGGAAAGGCGCCCAGAAGCCCATGGTCGGCGTGGAAAGTCTGGGTCCCTGTACTCTCACCCCTGGGCAGCATGAGGACACTCCCGTGGACAGGGGCTGATGGAGCTCTCGCCTGGACCAGGAGCGCCCACCCTGGGCGCCTGCCAGATGGCAGGCATGCCATCACTGGGCATCACAAACCAACCAGAACGGTCTCAGGGGCTACCTGCCATGAGCCCATCTGGTCTCGTTTCCACAGGAGCAAAGTGGAGCGGACAATAGCATCCGCTCCTCCAGTACTGCGGGTTTATCTATTTCCATTCTTATTTAGCTCTGCTCCAATCACGGGAGTAGAAAGCCTTGTCATGGTTGGTGGTTTCAAACTGCTGACCTTGTGGTTAGTAATCCAGTAGGCAACCCCTATGCCCCCGGGCTGGACAGAAAGGGGTGATTCCCTTCGCCTCCATAAGGAAATCTGAGAGACAAGCCGGCCCTGTGGGACCTGGTGGGAAGCCAGTGGCTGACCCCAGGTAAATGGGTGGTCTCCAGAGCAGTGTCCTGGTCCTCTATCTGCCCGGGACAAGAGAACCACTGGGTTTTGTTTGTAAGCGACATCCGTCCTCTCTCTGCACCCTGGCTGTTGGGTCCAGCCAATTCCTGATGCCATAGGACTGAGTGCAGGGTTAGGGTTAGGGTTGAGGTTAGTTTTAGGGTTGGGGTGAGGATGGGAAACAGGGAGGGACATCCTGGGCTCCAGGTGCCACTGTTAGTGGCCCCACTTACTAGCTGGTGATTTGGGAGGGTCATTTTTTTTTTAGTCTGAGCCTCAGTTTCCCCATCAGCAAAGCTGGAGGGCATGGCTTCTCCTGTCAGGGTGGGGATAAGGAAAAAAGGGAGGGGCATGTGCTGCCCAGGCTCCTATCCCCAGAAGCCAGTGCTGTGGGGACCCACATAGCTGGCCACCTCCCTCCCTGAAGTCGGCTTGGGGAGCCCCTGCCCTGTAGCCTCCAGCACGGATATCCTGGGACCCACCTCGGTCCTTGGCATGGCCTGGCACCCTGAGGTGCTGCCCTAAGCTCTCATGTCTAAGGACAGAGCAGGGCGGGGAGCAGTGAGTCATGTGACATGGGGGTGGGGAGGTGGCGGAGGCAAAGCCTCTCCCTCCGCTTGCCTGGAGCGAGCCAGCCACCTGAGCCCTGTACCCCACGCCCCACCTAGTTCCCTGTCACCCTGCCTGTATCCTGAGCCACTCCTAGTCTCAGATCACCCTGTCTCGCCTCAGGTGCCTGACCTGACACCTTCCTTCCCTACAAGAGCCAAGGGGACAGTCCCGAGCTCACACCGGGCCAAGCGTGCCCCAGGAGAGGACTTGGTGAGTGTTCAGAACGGGGACTGCCATCTGGGGGTGTAGCCAGGAGACAGGTGGTGGTCCTGGAGAAGGCTCGGAGAGCCCACAAGGGTGAGGCCACCGGACCCCTAAGGTGTCAGCCCAGGCTGGTGAGAAATGGTGGTCAGTCCCCCCAGCCCCAATCCCCTGTCCTCCCCTGGGGACCTTGATCTGACTGGGTCTGGGCACTCACAGACCCATTTTGGACAAAACTCTTCGAGAGGCTGCTGCCTCAGCCTCCTGGGGGCACTAGGTCTTGGGGACGGGCCTGGACTGCAGAGCCCTGAGTGGACTGGGCTGTCACCTGGGACCCTCACTGTTTGGAGAGTCTGCCTCCTGGGGGAAGAGGGTCTTAGGGGACAGGTCCATGTCCCAGTGTTATAGGGGATGTCCTCCCTGGCTGTATCTGGGGCTTTGAAGGCCTGGGTGTTATTGGAGTTCTCTTTGGCCTGTCAGACCCCCGGTCCAGCCTGCCTGGGAGAGGTGGGCAGGGGGATCCCTGAGCTCCCGGTTTAGACCCCTCTTCCTGTGGCCTCTAAGTGGGAGAGCCTGCGGTCATTGTCACCGAGCACCTGGGCCAGGTCTTACAGCTCCTCTTTTCTACCTGGCTTTTTATTTTGCTCACCAATCGTGAGGGCTGGGGACAGAGACCCGGGGAGAGGGAGCCACGCTGGGCCAGGGGAGCGCACCACGGCTGGGCAGTGGGGCCAGAGCTGTGCTGTTGACACAGAGCAGCTGGCTAAGCCACGGGCCTCCAGCCGGCTGGAGGGCGTGTCTGCCCCAGGTGTCTGGGTAGGGCAGGGCCAGACCCCGCCCTTCCTTGGAACCTAAGCCTCCCCACCCCTCCCCCACCAGCAGCCTTAGTGTCCTGTCCAGACAATGAGGGAGCGGCTGGGGGGTGGGATGCAGGACTGACTGAGGATGCCCGTGAGGACCTGGCACAGGGAGGGGTTGTGCACCTAGCTGCTGGGGGCCTGAGTGCCGCCCTGCTGAGTGAGACAGGTGCCTTTGGAGTAGGCTTGGCTAGCCCAACCCGGCCACCTCCCGGGAGAAGGTGGTGTTGGGGGCCCTTCTGCAACAAGGGGGTGGCGCTCCCTTGGAGTGGTGAGGGAGCCAGCCTTCAGCACCCCGCTGTTCTATTCTGTCCAGAAAAAGCTTCCAAGGGAAGATGGGGTAGAAGATGGGGCCAGGTCCCACACAGTAACCCCAACTCCAGGGACTCACACAGGCAGGAGTGGGCCCCATGGCCCCTGGCACAGGCAGGGAAACTGAGCCACAGGGGCAGGGCTAGGTAGGAGGGGCCTCAGCTGGGCTTTCCGTCCCATTTCCTTTCTACAGCCTCACCAGGAACTGGCCCTCACTACAGAGACCAAAGTTGGACCCAAGGGACAGTGGGGTAGCACATGTCCCCAGTGGACACCACAGAGAGGTTTCTTGGGCAGCTGTGAGGAGCCATCCGCAGGTGACAGCTGACCCTCTGGCTGCTGCAAACCTCCTGCGGTCCAGGCAGATGGGGTGAAAGCTTCATCTCCCAAGGTGCTTCTCTGCGGTCACTGTGTCTCCAGGTCTCTCCCAAGGGCCAGCAAGACTAGCCAAGCAGCCCCACCCCTACCCCATTAGAGGCATCCATCACTCCTTCTCCCTGAGCTCACCTCAAGGTCTCACCGCCCGCTGCCTGCACCCCTGTGCCCAGCCCACCCTGCTCCATCCAGTGCTGCTCTTTCTGTGGCTGGAACGACTTGTGGGTGGGCCAGCAGGGGCCTAGTGGGTTTGAGCCCCTGTGGGGCCTGGCGCAGAGGAGGCCTGGCTCAGGTGCTCCTCTCCAGGGAGCCTTTAGACCTCTGCTGGGAGACCCGGGACCACTCTGCTCCCAGCAGGAAGAAGGAACAGAATGGCTGGAGCCTCACAGGCCGACCCTCGTCCTCCTGCAGTGCCGTCCAGGGGAAGGAGGGGAGGGGCTCATCCGGCTCGTGCTTTGAGCTGATACTCCGGTGTGTCAGTCCGGGTAGACTAGAGAAACAGATTCATGGACACTCATATGTGTATAAGAAAGAGATTTATATACAAGAGCAATTGTATATTGAGAAAACATCCCAGCCCAGTCCAGATCAAGTCCTTAAGTCTGATATTAGCCCATACGTCCAATGCCAGCCTATAAATTCCTCCTCAGACTCACGCAACATATGCAATGACACCAAATGCAGGAAGATCACAGGCCAGTGGGTGGAAAGTCGTATGGATCCAATGGTCGTGGAAGCACCTCAGCACTGGCGTGGGTCTCCACGTGGTTCCTCCAGCTCCAGGGCTCTGGCTCCATCAGTGTAGCTGCATGTGGCTTGTCAGCAGGAAGACAAAGCAGAGAGAGTGTGTCCTGCTTCCAGGGAGGAAGACAAGAGTTCCCAGAATCCTCAGGAGAAGGTTATGCCCACCCAGAGGCCTCATTAGCTATGGCCTGATTGACAGGCTAGACTCCGCCCCTTTGCAAGTTGACAGGAGATGGCGTAGCTGCCACATCCGGGCATCCTGCTTGCTGACAGGGCAGGCGGGTTGGTGAAGATGAGGAGCAGCCTCCACAGGCTGGATTGGCACAGTGGCTGCAGCAGGGGGCTCACCCCTGGCAGGGCCGGGCGGGGTCTGGTTCTGTGGCACGTGGGTTTGCGGTGAGCTAGAGCAAACAGCACCTAAGGGCCATGATGAACCAGAACCAAACACACTGCCGTCCGGTCGATGCTAATCCACGGAGTAGAATTGTGGGTTTTCTAGACTTTACAGCCACCAAAATCCCTGGAGGTTTCAAACTGCTGCCCTTGCGGTTGGCAGCCCAAAGGGTAACCACAACACCGCCAGGGCCCCTAACAACTACGATAACGTCACGTTAAAAGATGAGTTTGGAGAAGAGTGTGGTTTCAGGGCTCGTCATGGGCCATGTTTGCTGCAGACCCTGCCCCGGGGTCTGGGGCTAGAGCCTTGGTTCTCTTCCCCTGTGAGAAATCACCCAGCACCCCTTCCCTAGAGCCCAGGGGAGCAGGAGAAGAGGCAGGAGGCATGCAAGTGAGACCTGCACCCCAAGTTTCCATGCGAACCTGGCGACCAGGCAGCCCCACGGGTGCGCTACGTGGAAGCGTGCATGCGGCAGCTGATGAAGGCTCAATGCCCAGGCCCTACCCACGGACCATGAAAGGGCAGCATTTGGAACTGACCACAAAGGGTTAATGTCCAGATGGCACCCCAGGCACCTCCGCCCACGTCCTGTTTTATCAGCAGCGCCTGGCCCCACCCCTGGGTTCCCAGTTGATGGGAAAAGAGCTGAGAAAGAGACTTGGCCTGGGTGCGTCCCTCCACCCTGGAGGGTGACCCCACGCAGGCGCTGCTGTTCCCAGGCCGGTGAAGCCAAGCCTTGCCCCAGCAGGGACCCTCCTGGCACACAGCACTTCTCCTTCGACTCAGCAAGGTAGAACTAATTTCATGCATGGAGGCTACAGAGTGTTGCGGGGGGTGGGAGGGAGGTTCTGCTCACTGTGGGGACCCCTGCTTGTGTCTTGCTCCCTGCTCTCAGGGTCTCCACCCCTCTCTCCTCGGTCACCCTTGGAGGGCGGGGGTCAGGGGAGACCGAGCCTCAGAGATCAGTAGCACGATTTCATCCGAGCAGCTGACCAGGCTCAAATGGAAAGCGTTTGACTCAGAAGCTCGTGACTCGGAGTTATCTGCCCAGAGAGGAACCAAGGACTCCTTCTGCCCTTCATCCAAGAGGTGCCCCCTCCCTCTAGCCTTCTGCATGCCGGTGTCTGCTGCCCCACATGTCCGGCCGCCTCCCATCCTCAGGTGCTCTGTGTGGTGGGTGCCAGGTGGACAACAGCTTCTCAGGGAGCAGAG